CCCTATTTTCGATTTTTACTTTGTTTTAGGGGAGAATACAAGTTGTTTTGTGTAGATATATGTGTATATGCATGACTATGTGTGTTTTCATGAATTATTTGGTGATTATGTGTTGTTTACTTCATAAATCTAAAAATATGTTATAAATATGAATTTTACCACTTGGATCTTCATAAAAACCTTGAGTAAAATATGTATTATCACATATAATACCTGTAAGCTTGTAGATCTGGGATTTATACACTTAAAATAGCAAAAACAAGGGTTGTGTACAAACATGGATAACTTAAACTCAAAATCATACTTTGACAGAAAAGTTTTGGTCCAATCTCAGACTGTTTTGATCTCCTTAATGATAATATTTTTCAAAACTGTCTTACATGCAAAAAAGATCAGGTTTATACCTTTAAAATGACTACTCTCACGTTTTCATACGATCTTTCTACAATTTTTGGTGAATTTTACAAAACTGCCTATCATATTTGAAATAATTTCGGACCAGCCTGTGAAGGTGACCAATTTCACACTTGTTTGAGGCCATTAAAAAATTATGAGAAAAATTGTGAACAAAGTAGACAAAATTTCCAAACTTCCAGAGTTTATGGATCCAAATTTCGACTTACGATGATTTTTCTACAAATTTTCCAACAACCAGGTCAGAAAAGTCAAAAACCAGAAAAATGTGTATTTTCACAAAAATCAAGCCAAAAATGATATTTTTGATAAAAATGGGTTAAAAATGTTATTTTTACCAAGGACTAGCCATAAATACAAGTTTTGAACAAAATGGGGACTAAAGTGTTATTTTTACTAAGATTGGGCCTTAATTGTAAATTTTTGGCTTATTGGGCCAAAAATGTCATTTTTACAAAAAGTGGGCTTTTTATGTTATTTTGGTAAATAATTTGGCTAAAACTAGCAATACAATAATAAACGGGCTAACTTTGCCATTTTCATGTTATTGGGCCTTAGTGGCCCATTTATATGTTTAATGGGTCCTGAATACTATTTGTATGTTTGTTGGGCCTCATTGACCCATTAACATATGCGACGGACTTTGGATACTATTTGCGTGCTATTTGGGCCTGTAAATACCTTACATGTGAAATGGGCCTTAGTTGTCATTTTATATATATTTTGGGTCCATGTTATATAATCTCATTCCTATTGGGCCTTGAAATGACTTACATGTTCAACGATGCCTTAAGTGGCTCACTTACATGGTTCATTGGGCCTGGAATGAGTTTTATACGTTTATCTTCGCGTAAATTCGATTAAGGATCTAGTGAGATTTGTCGGTCGACACCTATTGAGTGTACGATCATAGCCTGTAGTTATAACCAGAGTCTTTTGGAGGGAGAGCGTGAGTTTGTGTATAGATCTATACGGGGGTGACGCCCCACACCTGAGCTGTTCGCTACAGTTAGACTAGTCCACTCTAGGGTGACAAACCATACCTTAAACAAGTCGGCGTCTTTCAGACGTCAAGACAGGCGAAATTGTCATTATCAAGTATGACTATAACGGCTCACTTAGAGGAATTAACGTTATAAATTTACGGGAGACCACTCTCTTTTTCTTTGGATTACTCAGGAATATACTCGTACTGGTACTCAACCTCGGGGGTTGGTATGGCAGCATTTTCTTTTTCAGACAACATCGGGTTGTCTGGGGACATTCTCTTTACATTCTCCTTACATTCTCTTTACATTTTCTGCATTATCTTTATACATTCTAATAAACATTAACACACATGCCTTATACAAGATCGGACACAAACTTACTAAAACTGGTTTTTAGAAAATATAGGATTTTCTGGTGATTACAAAGTTATACAAATCATTTTCACAAACATGCTTATGAACTCACCAACATTTTTATGTTGACCTTTTTAAATTAACTTGTATTCTCAGGAAACCATTGAAGCAGGTTGAGCGGAACAAACTAATCGATATTTTGTTTCATCATACTTTAACTATTTTGGCATGTAATATTCAAATACAATTCTCGATGTAAACAATGGATGTTGTTATATTGCAAGTGTGATGATGATGATGTTATGTTTCATTTATATTCATTGTGATGATATTTCAAGATGAAGTCACGCACAAGCCCCCGGACGTTTCCGCCGTCTGGTTCGGAGGTGTGACACTTTAAATTTTCATGATTTTTAGAGAAAAAATTTTTGTTTTGTCTAAAAAAAATAAAAAATAATATATATATATATATATATATATATATATATATATATATATATATATATTTTAAATTTTCATAATTGTGTTCATTTTGTATAGAATTTAGTTTTATGAAATTTGGTTTTTTCATATTTTTTTAAAGAAAAAGAAAAATTTATGGTTGAAAAATGAATTAGAAAAATTTATGATCCATCTTATATTTTTAGGTCATAAAGCTTATGCATCATAAAGTTTGGATAATAAATTTTGTAACTTGTATTTTTTTGGATCCAAAATATACAATAAATAAATTTATGATTCAAAATATATGATATTCTTCGAAAACTATACATAAATATCACACCTTCTTCAATAAACTCTTTTATTTATTTAAGCTTAGTATTTTGAAAATCTATACATATTTCTGTTGGATTAGTGTCTAAGCCTGTAACTATATTTGGCAAGTACTTGACCCGGTTGTGCATGGTCCTTTTGGGTTGCCTTCACCATAGCAACTTGACAGGGTGATTTA